CTCTATCAGTTGGATATCAAGAATGCTTTCTTAAATGGTGATTTGCTCGAGGAAGTCTACATGGAGCAACTGCCTTGCTTTGTTGCTCAAGGGGAGTCCTCTGGTCTTGTATATCGACTGTGAAAATCTTTATATGGCCTCAAGCAGTCACCCAGAGCGTGGTTCATTAGATTTAGTACTGTGATTCAACAGTTTGACATGACTCGGAGTAAGGCTGACGATTCTGTCTTCTATCGTCTCTCCCCTATCGGTTGCATCTACTTGATTGTTTATGTTGATGACATTGTCATCACAAGTAGTGACCATCATGGCATCGCACAGGTAAAGCAACATCTCTTCAAACATTTTCAGACAAAGGATCTTGGCAAACTCGAATAATTTTTGGGAATAAAAGTAGCATAGTCCAAAAATGGGATCATCATTTCCCAAAAGAAGTATGCAATGGATATTTTAGAAGAAACAGAAATGTTAACTTCCAAGCCAGTCGACACTTCCATGGATCCCAATGTCAAGCTCTTGCCAAATCAGGGGGAGCCTCTACTAGATCCTAAAAGGTACAGACGATTAGTAGGAAGCTGAACTACCTCACTGTTACCCCGTCTAGATATCTCATTTGCAGTGAGTGTAGTAAGTCAATTCCTCAACTCTCCATGTAAGGAACATTGGGATGCAGTGACTCGTATTGTTCGATACATCAAAGGAGCTCCAAGAAAGGGTCTTTTGTATGAAGACAAAGGACACACTCAAGTTGTGGGATATTCTGATGTAGATTGGGTAGGATCTCCCGTAGATAGAAGGTCCACCTTTGCATTCTGTATATTTATCAAAGATAACCTTATCTCTTGGAAAAATAAGAAGTAGAATGTTGTAGCCCGGTCAAGTACGAAAGCAGAATATTGAGCTATGGCTACAGCGAGTCAGGAGCTTATATGGCTCAAACAGTTGCTTGAAGAACTAAAATTCGGAGAGGTCATACATATGTCACTTATATGTGATAATCAAGCCGCTATGCATATTGCCTCAAATCCAGTATTCCACGAAAGGACAAAGCACATTGAAATTGATTGTCACTTTATCAGAGAGAAAGTCATATTCGGAGAAATATCTATTAGTTTTGTCAATTCTCATGACCAACTTGTAGATATATTTACTAAGTCACTCAAGGGTTCTCGGATTAACTATATATGTAACAAGCTTGGTGTATATGACTTACATGCTCTACCTTGAGAGGGAATGTTAGAATCTATTAGAATCTTGTAAATATAGTAACTGCATATTTTGTAATTATGTACTTTTCTTTATAAATTGGAATAACTCCGATGTGCCCTAAACACACGGATTCAATATTTTCTCTCTCAACAGTGCAGATTACGCTTCACACATTGATCATTTGCACTTAGTTCTTCAGCTATTGAAAAACCAAGAACTGTGGGTCAATGGCAAGAAGTGCAGTTTTGGAGAATCAAAGTTAGAATATCTTTGGCATGTAATTTCCTCTGCTGGAATCCCTGCTGACCCTGCAAAAATCTCTGCAATGAGACAGTGACTAGAACCTAAAGACATTCGCAGTTTGAGGGGCTTCTTGGGCTTGACGGGGTATTACCGCCGTTTTACAGAATTATGGAATTATTACTAAACTCCTAACGCAGTTACTAAAGAAAAATAATTCAAATGGTCAGAGGAAGCACAAGCAGCATTTGAGAAGCTCAAGTGGGAAATGGAGGTGCTGCCAACCTTAGCAATGCCGAACTTTGATTTACCATTCATGGTTGAAACTGATGCTTCAGAGTATGGATTAGGGGCAGTTTTAATGCAATAGGGCAAACCCTTGGCCTTTCTTAATCAAGCTCTCTCGAAACAAGGTGAAATTGGTTTATAAACGTGAATTAATGGCAATTGTGTTTGCTACTCAGAAGTGGCGACAATATCTGCTGGGCCATCATTTTATTATTTGGACTGATCAAAAGAGTTTAAAATTCTTATTAGAGCAACGAGTATTGGTGGGGGAGCAACTGAAGTGGGTAACCAAATTAATGAGTTTTGATTTTGAAATTCAGTTCAAGCCTAGGCTGGAGAACAAGTGGGAGATGAGCTTTTAAGGGGAATCATGCAAGAGGTGGTGACACACCCTAGTTCCCACCCACACTACTCAGTGTCTCAGGGCTGCTTGTGGTATAAGCAGAGGCTTGTCCTGCCTAAAGAATATGCCCGAATTTCACTATTGTTGATGGAATTCCATGCATCACCTTGGGGTGGCCATTCTGGAGTGACAAGGAGAGGTTGACTATGATTTTCTATTGGACTGGGATGAAACAAGACGTGGAGAGGTTTGTGGCCAATTATCAGGTGTGTCAACAGAATAAGCACGAAACCTTGAAGCTCGAGGGCTCCTTCAGCCTCTACCAATTCCGGTGCATGTGTGGGACGATATCTCGATGTATTTTATTGGCGGATTACCAAAAGCGAAGGGAGCGGACAGCATTATGGTAGTGGTGGACAGATTAAGCAAATATGCCCACTTCATTCCCTTGCTCCATCCATACTCAGTTAAGGAGGTAGTAGTAGTGTTTGTGAAAGAAATCGTGCGTTTACATGGATTTTCCAGTTCCATAGTTTTGGATCGAGACAAAATTTTTATTAGTTCATTCTGGAAGGAGCTATTTCGTCTCTCGGGCATGAGGTTGAAATTCAGTTGTGCATTCCATCCTCAAACGAATGGCCAAACCAAAGTGACTAACCGCACTATTGAAGCGTATTTGAGGTGTTTTTGTGAATAACCGCCCTCGTTAATGGGTGAAATGGCTACCGTGGGAGGAGTTTTGGTTTAATTCACCATTCAATGCCTCCATCCAGATGACTCCCTTCAAAGCACTATATGGCCAGGTTCCTCCCATGGTTATTCCCTACTGTCGGGACAACACTGTTGCTGAGGTGGACCAGCTGCTAGAGTTTTGGGATAGTATCATAGAGGAGCTCAAGCAACATTTAATGAGAGCACAGATGAGAATGAAGGAACAGGCGGATAAAAGACGACGAGAAGTAGAATTCCAAATTGGGGATATGGTATATTTGAAGGCCCAACCATACAAACTGAAAACATTGGTCAAGAGGATCAATGAAAAATTGAGTCCCAGATTTTATGGCCCTTTTCGCGTGGAAGGAAAGATAGGAGCTGATGCTTATAAACTTCTGTTGCCAGAATCATCACATTTGCACCCCGTCTTTCATGTGTTCCAGCTTAAGAGGGGCCCCCTACCAGTCAAGCATTGCCGCCATTTTTAACAAAGAACTTGGAGCTACAGGTTGAGCCTGGGGAGGTGCTGGATGCTAGAAAATTATTGAATGGTCGTTGGGAAGTTTTGATTAAATGGAGAAATTTACCTAAGGAAGATAGTACTTGGGAGGAATTTGATTTGCTGCAGGCTATATTTTCACATTTCAATCTTAAGGACAAGGTTCCTCTCAATAGAGGGGGTATTGTTAGGTCTAAGCCAATTGGACCCCATTAAAGACATTTCAAAGGAAGGGTAAAATGGGAAAGGTAAGCAAGGAGGCCGTTATGCAAGACTCTAATAGACTAACAAATTAGCGTACATGGCAAGGAGAAAAGGGGAAAGATGCAGCTGAGAAGAGGGGATATATGAAGGATGGACAGAGAGCAGAAGACAGAAATTATCAAGGAGGCTATTTGGGGTGGCTGTTGCCATAGGAGGAGTTTCATTCTTTAACCACTAGTTTTTTTCCTGTTATCCATTGCTAATTGCTTGTACTACCAAGGTTATTCTCTGCGTTTGTTCTTTTAATTCAATAATATAATCAGTTCCTATCAGAACGTTAGATGACTTTTAAGGGAGACAATCTTGAGATTTCACTCCTTTTTTACATTTTTGATATCTTCTTCTCCCTTGCGAGCTAGCCCTAAGCCCTTTTTGCATTTTGCCTTCCTATCTTAGTTCTCGTTTTCCTCTTGCTTCTAATGTCTTTCTTCATCTTTAGCGAAGCTTCCGACGTGATAAAGTCATTCTCCTATCATCTTCTCCATCTTTGGTAAAGCTTACGACGTGATCCATATATTTTCTAGTCGTCTTCTTTATCTCTAGCAAAGCTTTCAATGTGACTCAGACATTTTCTAGTCATCTTCATCTCTGGCGAAACTTTTAATGAACCTAAATGTTTTTTGATGACTAATCATTCTCTGATTTCTATTTTCCTTCTCTGTTCTGATTTTCTTGCTCTGTTTTGTTTCAAATTTCAATGCCTAAAATAGTGGTCATCCCACTGTCTGCTATTCCACTATAATGTATTTGGGGTCGGCTGCTCCGCACCGCTATCTGGGATTGATTACTATGGTATAAACAAATGAAAACAAGAAACAAAGTGAAAATAGTGTTTTTTGGTAATTTGTGAAAATTGGAAATGAAAACAAAAATAGTTTTTTCAAACTAGACAGGCTCGAAGATTTCTCATGTTTTCTTTTGTCATCATTATGTTGAGAATAGTGTTTCTTGACATCTACAGGACTTCATAGAAGATATACAGCCTTTTTTTCAACTTATACAGAGTCGAAGACTTCATAGCACTTTGTCAAACATAATTTTGTTGATTTGATTGTGATTAGGCTGTAAGATAAGTTAGATAACTTCTAATTACCTTCTAATTGGCTTTACTCCATTGATTGATTGTAGTCAAAGCATAAATATGAGATCAAATATGCATCTCATACACATGATATCACTAAAACGATTTGTACTGAATTTAAAAAAAAAAAAAAAAACCTTCAAACACAATTGTTCCTAAAGGATTCATCGAATAGGTGCTTCCTGTGATTCTTCTAAAAGGTATGTGATGTAGTCTAATTTTTTGGCAGAAGATTTAAATAAGCATATATCTGACCGAAGGTCTGCTATCCTGTACAGAAATGCACCTCCCTGTCACATACTTTCCTTGCTACTGCTTTGTTATGGCATGCTGATTTTTATCCCTTACTTTCCATTTACTAGGGAATGGTGGAAAGAGTAGCTGTTATTTTCTTCAATGCTGATAATGTTCCACTGGAGAAATTTGTATTCAAGGTTGCAATGAACCAGTCTTATGAATCAGTAGTGGAAGACGTTGATCTTGAGTCCTCTCTCAGATCATTTCTGATTAAGCTGTCAATCTCTGAATCTCTTACTAGGGAGCTTCCTCCTGGTAAATGCAAGCTTAGTCATGCCTGCTGCAAGATTTCTGTTTCCCGTTTCCATGTTTTCCTTTGGCTTAATTGCACTTTTGTCTCTACACTAGGAACAATGTATGATTTTGGCATCCCAATGTGTCTATTTAGATGCCAACTCAACTGTCATTCACGTTTGCTAATTTTTGGCTATGTCACTAACTTTTGTTGGTAATTGGATGAGATAGACTGATAGAGGAACCTATTTTTTTCAATTGTAAAAATACCAATTTGATTGCTGCAAAAAAACATTGAAAACTAAAATTGCATACTAACCATGCTATAGAGGAACAAACTTGCAATTAAGCCTTTCTTTTTTGTCTCTGTTGTGTGTATGAAACACGTCATGTATGTGCGCACATACAACAACACATCTATGTACTAGCATGCCCATATTTTATCATCAATTTCAGTTCATAATTATATACATTGCTAGTTTTGAATCAAGTGAAAGTAGTTTGTTACTACTGTCTTTGATTCATTTCTAAGCCTCATGCTGAATTTGTGCATTGGTATGTATAGAGACAGAGACCCAGGTCTATGTTTTTTTTCCTCTTCTCCGAACAGATTGCAGATGGGAGATAACTGCTTACTTTCGATCCCTTCCTGAGACTGATCCTAGCAAGGAAGCAGAACTGTGGATCCCAACTGACACAAAGCAATGGCAGCAGCCTCCACTTATAACCCCTATCAAATCAATGAGCAGTGAACCTCTGTGTTTGCAATTGTACTTGGAGCATCCAAGTTTATCAGAATTGCTTTGAGATGGGAACTCAAAGGTACAGTACATATATAAACATGTATGGTAAGAATGTAGGAACCAGTTTTTATTTAAACTTTTGAAATCTCACATTTTTTTATTTCGTTGTGTTTTCGATTCATTAGGTAATCAGCATGCTTTTACAGAAAATTGCTGCCATGTTTTCTACTAGTCAATTAATAGTTGCAACTTGAAAGGTTAATATCTTATAATAAAATTTAAGAAACCAAAAGTTAATATTTTAAATGGAAGTAAAAGATTATGAAAGTACATAACAAAAATATAAATTGTTAATGAACCTATAATATTTTAAGAAACCTTGTTATGTATTTTTGGTTCTAGAGTGCTGTTATTGTCCAAAATCTAGATAACTTGTGTCGGCCAAGACAAGATCTTTCTTTGAACAGTTTTAAGGATGCATTCCTCATATGAATTCGTTACTTTTAGGGGAATTAATTGTCTCGTGTGCTGGGCCAGCTGGCTCACAGTTGGAACCTGAATATATATGGTCAAAGCATGAAACACACCATCAAAAATAAAATAGGGTAGATCTCTATAATGACCAATGCCAACCCTTCATATGACTTTGCGTCTCAACACAGAAAGTGGTCCATGGGCCAGCCATTAAGGCCATTTTGACAGGAGCATATCACCGTTAGAACAGCCCATATAAACAAAACGAAGATTTTCAATTTGCTCCTTTTTTTCCTGATTTAAAATGTATGGATACTACTGTTTATCCACATTCTGAAGCTACTTTTGATCTAACAGAATATCTCTTTACACATCTGTTTTCACATGCAATGGTCATTTTTTGTGGCTAGTGGATGGAAAGCATGTTCTCAATCTCTGGACTATTAAAAGAACTATTTACAAGCGCAAGTGGTCTGTATTGAACTCTTCCCAAATGAAAAGTTGCTAACTTTTTACTGTGATTTGAAGGTGGGAGATAGAGACGGGATTATAGTTATGTATTTTGTGGATAGACAATGTAAAAGCATCATGATTAATGTTGTCTGTTTTTATCGGTCTATATGTGTGACTTGGAACATGCTGTAGAGCTTTCTTACTGTAGACTCCATAGTCACGTACTTTTCCTCCAGTTGGTGTGATCAGTTACCTCAGCCACTTTTTCTTGCTTATTGGCTGACATTATTGCACCATTTTCTTTCATTTTCGAGGATTTTTCTGTGTCTGCTGACTCGCTCTGCCATAACATGTTTTAATCATAATAGTCTTCTTTAGTTTCTTTCCCTGTTTGGAAGAGCTTATGGATAATATAAAAATAGCCTGAGTCTCATTTTTTTTAAGCTTATTTTAATAAGCTTCTTGGTATAGTTTATTAGGTATAGTTTATTAAAATAACTTGTTTTCGACTTGTTTTAATAAGTTTCATATTTAATTTATAAGGTAAGTCATAATTTAAAAAGAGCTTATTAAATAAATAGTTAAATAAATATTGTACCTAAATGAATCCTAAATCAAGTAGAGAATCCATGACCATGTTCAACCCTATTCCATTTACTAGACTTTCCCACAACCGGAAGATTTGGTATGGTTTCCTAGTCTTGAGCATGATGTTTCTGGTTTGCATGAAAAGTATAAAATCTCTAAGAGGTTATGATGTAAAACTGTAATGGCTTTCGTCTACAACGCTTCCTTAAAACAGATTGTAAGAAATTTTAAATTACATAGTTGAATATATCAGGTTTAAGATTTCAATTTGTGACAAGTAATTATATCGTCATATTAAACCTCTGGGCATAGATACTTTTTAGAACGTTTGAGCTAAATAAAGCTTATGAACTTTTTGCTAAAGGCACTCTTTCCTAAATAATATAGAAGATGATAAGGATTCCATTCAATGAATCCGAAGTTGGGATTTTGATATAAGGACTCTAATGATATTCATCCTTAACATGCAATAAAAATGTAGTCACTGTTATATTTTAGTTTAATTACACCTTTAGTGTAATTTTAATTATTCATATGTAGCTTTCTTAGATTTCCAATTCTTTAAACTAAGTGTTTATCTAAAAATTCCATCCATTAATTAGCAAAAGTATAACATTAAATATAAGTCATTATATTTAATGTTAAACTTTTGTTAATTTGGGAGAAGAGACTTAATATAGACAATTAAATATAAGTCATTAAAATTAAAGAGGCTGAAATCTTTAAAAGACCCCAAAAAAAAAATTATAGAAACTAAAAATACAATTAAACTTAGAATTTAAAAGATGCAGATTGGCTGAACCATTTTATGGATGAAAGATTTGTAACAGTTAACATATGATACATATAAAGAATGATTTGCACATAAGTTAAGCGTTGATGTGGTTCTGATTATCTTCATGTATTATGAACAGAATCTATTAGAATCTGATTGAACAAAAAGTATTTCAAGAATCAACCCTTCTTCATCTACCAAGTTTATGCAAATTGCATGACTAAATATCGTTACAAGAATCCTATACCATAGAATAAATGTTGTTACAACATTTTTTAGACTAATTAGCCACCTTTTGTAAAACACTTTGGTAAAGACGGCCATTAGCACGTGACAAGTTCTAATCAAATGAAGATCTTTGTTTTTTCTTTTTGGGTTTCTTTTGTTTTGCTTTGTATGAATTGGAAAAAGAGAATACGGCTTAAAGGAGCAACATCAACCTAAATGGTTCTCAGAATATGAGGTTCCACTTGGAATATTATTTGTTGAACATTGATTGATAAGAAACTATTGCATGCGAATCCAGATTTATGAATTGCCTCTAAACTAAGGACTCCTGCATGTTCTCTTTGCTTTGGTGGATTTGTGGTCATTTAAATTCTTCCACTTTGTATCCCGATATGATGTGATACTTCGAGAATAAAGAAGCTTATTTATTCCTTCTTACTAGCAATTTTTTAAACTTGGTATATATTTTTAGATCTGCATCAATTGTCCATCGTTGTGATTTTATTATTTAATTGAATCCCTGGCATTTCATGTAATGATTCATTAACCAATTTAAACATGAATTGACCTCACAATTCAGTGGAGCATCTGAAAGCATTTGGAAATTAAATCCATAGCCATTAATTGAGTAATATATTTGCCTGTCAGTTAAGTTCTGAATTCTGATGTGTCTAATTTGTACCCCACACACAAATATATCCTGAACCCTTCTACAGCATCACCAAGTAATCCCTTCTTTTTAAAGTGGACCTCATCAAATGGTCACATAGATACCTATCTTATCCTAGACTACTGGGGTTAATATGATTTGTCTCTTAAGATCATTTTACTATACAATAAGTATTTACTTATAATAATAATAATAATAATAATAATAATAATCCTGAGCATTAAAAAGAGAGTAAAGTCTTAACTTAGTTCCCAAATAATATAACATTCAATTGTATTAGCCTAAAAGATAAAAATTACCTCATAGTTTCTGATATCATTAACACAATATCTAATTTGACAGGTAAAATATCTATGTGAGGTCTTCTGATAATTTAGAAACTAATTTGGATATTTATTGTCAAATTGGTATTAAAACATCTGACTGAATGATGAAAATGGTTACAGCTAGCAGCAGCAAGAACTTCTCTGATTAAAACGCCAGGTGCTACCACATGCAAAGTACTTTCAATCTCGTTATTAAGACAAAAACAAGCTTCCACTTCACTCCTTGATTTTTTTCTAATAATAATCCAAGTGGTTCTTTTCTTTCTTCCCTGACTTTTCCTGCATGCACGTAAGTGGCCCCCAAATATTAATGTTGTTCAATCAAAATCATATCAACTGTTATTTGCTTAAGGCCTTTAATAACTTTCTCCCCTAAAAAAATACTTAAATAATGTCATTAATATTAGCCCCATATTTTTCAATTGGAATAGAATTTTTGCTTTTACTGATATCACATAGTAGTATCACTTTATCTCCTAAAATTCTCAAACCCAAAATTCATGGTCATGGACAATGTCTCATAAGGATTATGCTACCCCTTTGAGATGCATTTTGTTTTTTCTGGCTAATAATATGGAAGATTAAACTGTAAGAATGGAAATGAAGTGATAAAATTAACTTTTGTAGGACTACACATAATGCATTAATTATCTAGTGGCCCTATTCATATATTAGTCATTTTCAACTTTCAAAGCATGTAAACCACTAGGATCTGTTAACTAAAAGACACTCATTTCGACGTTATCTCCTGTCTCTTTGTATTGACGTGTGCATTATGTCTGTCGCACACACTTTTTTGCTTCACATGCATATCCATGTTTTCGTTTTCTAGTTAACACACTACTATCAAACAAGGGTGTCTATTTCAGCATCACTATGATTTGTCATTGTGCATCACTAATTGAACACCGACTTTTGTATTTTACAACATTTTTCTCATCACTCATCATTTTAAGGTACGTAATTATTTGGGCTCATCTTTAGATTTTAGCTGAGATATGTACAAAAATTGTAACATCATGTTAGCACTCAATCAAATTCGTGTTCATCTTGAATTAGTGTTAGTGGTGGGAATTTCCATCTCATTCACAAATTTTCCAGTAAGGAATTTTTTTTTCTTTCAATTTATATCCATGTTATATTTTGGACGGTAGAAAAGGCCTTATAGCCTTCTTTAATATACTTCTTGTCGCTTTGTGATAATAGATTATTATAAAAAAATAATTTTAATTTTTTAGATTGAGTTTAAACAACTAATAATAATAATAAAATTAAATTAAAAAAACATTGATTATACTTTTAAATTAATATAAATAAAAAGTTGTTATAATTGTTGAAGGAGAGGGCAACAATCATCTGCATCATCATTCAATTTAATGTGTCATTATTAATTTCTGGGATATCACCCCTATAACATCAATGAATGATAAGCACATGGGGAGTGTTAACCTCATACTACACATTCTGTGATGCCAAGGTGGGGACAAGTCTAAGCTGTGCAGTCACTATCAGTTATTCCATTATAGGCTTAAAAGAGTCAGATATTATTAAAACAGGGACATTGCTTCATCAAATAGGTCAGATCGTTATTGCCATTCAAGTGGATCTTAGTGCCATTGAGGCCCAACACATTAATTCACACCTGTCTTCCTTTTGTTCAATACAGCCCTATTTGTTTTTCCACAAGTACACTAAACTAACATTTTAGGCTGTGCAATATCATTAGAAGCTTCAAGTGGCAAGTGGCAAGTGGGTAGATGATAGACATGGCCTCAATTATGGGTGAGTAAAAGTGATGGCAATTGAAAATGTATAATAGGCAGTGCTAGAAGACAATTCCAAGATGGAGTGTGCTAGTCCTTGAGTTACTATAACATAATTGTGACATACTATCTATCTCGTGTTGTAGGGTATACCACTAGGACCAACTCATGAAAAAAAACAAAACAAATATTACCAAGATCAAAATTAAGGGTCTACTTCCATAATGTTGTTAAGATAGAATTGGAACATGAAACATGTTGTTACCATTTTAGTCTACAAACACCAAGAATAGTATGCCTGCCATCCAAGTCAGAATTGAATGGATGAATTTGATATGATATAGCAATTGATGCAATCTTTTGATCTTTCCATTGATCCTCCACTAAATTACTGAATTATGAATTGATTGGACATGCTAATAGTGGAAAGAACATTGAGGGGACAATTCCCAAGTGTGAAAACACTATGATCCTTCTTTAAAAAGCATGAGGGGAAAGGTAAAACTGATGGTGTACCTCCTATTTGACTAGAATCATGTAAAAAAAAAAAACTTCTTGCCTTAATTATGTTTTATTTATAATTTATTTTTTATTCCATAAAGTGAAAAACAGAAGCTTGAGTGATTGTAGAAAACCCACAATAGGAATCTGCCAGAGTTATCAAAATGGAGTGTCAATTCCAACAACAAAATTTTATGGTCCATTACTAGTGTGGGCCTGATCTTCCTCCTTCACAAGAATTGTGGACAGCACAATATGATGCACTCCCTTATTGATGATAATACCAAATATTTTTCCTCTCATATATTCGGTCCAAAAGTGATAGCTGGTCGATTCTCTGTGATGTCAATCTCAATTCTCTAGCTCATGACTCAATGTACGACTTTCAAAAAGAAAGGGGATAAAGGAAAAAATAAAATATCTTTTTATCTTTTTTTCATTTGATATATGTATATTTTTTTTAAGTGGGAAAGAGGGTTACATAGTACATATCTATGTCAACCTAGCTCTTGATTGGAGATCATTCACTAGAATGACTTAAAATATTTTATGACATGGTTAGTCCAATCCCATCCCACTACACACTATCCATCCACTTAGAAAATCCTATCTATATGACACTACATATCATGAGTGCCCACGTATCTCAACCGAAGAGCAAGCATGAGGTTTAGCATTTAGTTGTTAGAGGGGTGCCTAATGTAGACAAGAAGGGACTATTAACACACTTTTAGACGAAGTCCCCACTGAAAAGAAAAGAGAGGTAGAGAAAGGATGGCAAAGGCACAATCATTTTACCCAAGATGGGGGAAGTTGGGTTTGTGACCACAAACTCCAAGAAACCATTAATGGGATGAGTAAGCCTAGGTGGCCTTGGCACATGGATATTATTAAGTTAATGGGAGAAGCTGATGTTTACACTCGCACACACCAATCTATATAAAGGTGAGATGAAAACAGTAGTTAACAATGTTCCTCCTTTTTATTCTCATGTTTCTTTACTTTCTCTTTTCCATGTTTCATCCATAGTGGGAGAGAGGGGGCTTCTTCATTCAAAAATGCAATAAATAATGTCCTTATCTTTAGCCTTACTCCACCTATCGCACCAAATCCATCCTTGTAAAGTAGACTCATGGCAGGTCATTCAAATACCCCCTGTGAAGAAATTTTCATTATGTGAGATATGATTTCTAGGTGAATGGTTCATGCCTCTTTTTTTGCGAGGATTCTTAATTACTTATCTTGACCCACCTTGCCTTTTTTATCACATTATCCTTACAAAGTAATTTGAGAATCAAAGAATACAACAAAGAAAAGAAAAGATATATAGACGCCAGCTAGACACATCGCAATATACATAATCCCAAAAGAAAATTTTTTGTTAAATGAATAGTCAAATAGAGGACACCAATTAATAGTCGGTGTGATGCTAAGGTTTCTTATTTTAATATTTACTTTATTTA